GGGAAAACTTAAATAAATTAACAAATGTTGGGTAAGCCCCGACAAATATCTAAAAGATAGCTTTATTATAAACACAATAATATTTAGGTTTTACATTCACGAACACCATAAACAACACAACTCATTCTGGCACATATATTGCCCAGAAAACAGCAGCATACAAAACACTCTTTTTAGATAATAGTGAGATAGATCCTCAAATCCCATCACAAGTACCTGCAAATACCCCAAAAAAAAAAAGAAAAAAGAATTAGCCATGAAAAACTAATCTGAGGCATGTTTGGTGGAGTTCTATAGAAAACTCGCTTTTCTCTAAGGGAAAATTTGGATTTAATTTTTTTAAAATAAGTTAAAAATAAATTTTGAAAAAATTACAAATTATAATTATTTTAAAGTTGCTTTTTAACCACTTAAAAAATCAAATTTAAATTTTACTATGTTTTTGTTAAAAAAAAAAAAAACTCCAGCAAAAGGGCAATTAATTTTCCCAGATCAAATTTTGAAATAAAAAAATAAAAAGAGAAAATAATGAAATTACTAGGCTGTAATGGGAAGATGATGAGGATGATCTAATCGCTGTCGCTGCTGCTGCTGTCATGGCCATCCTCGTGCTTCTTCTTCTTCTCCTTCTTCTTCTTCTTCCCCTCCTCACCGTGCTCGCCATGGACCTTGTCCTTGATCTTGTCCACCAGCCCCTCCTTGTGCTCCTCATGCTTGTGCCCTTCGCCGTGATGCTCAGGCTTGTGACCACCCTCCGCATGGTGTTCGCCCTTGTGACCTTCCTCATGATGCTCCCCCTTGTGCTCCTCCTTCTTTTCACCTCCCATGTGGAGCGTCTCGCCAATCTTGTGCATGATTCCTGACATTTTTTTCTCTCTTTGGTTTCTGATTTTCTTTTTGAAGTTGGATGCTGAGATCTACAACTCTGGCGTTGTTTTATTTATAGACGCCGGGGGAAGAGGAATGAAGAATAGAAAGAGTCACGAAGAGAAAAAAAAAATTGTTAAAAAAAAAAAAAAGAGAAAAGAAAGGGGAATTATCCGCGTATTCAAAAGAAGTTAATAAAATAGGCAAAACTATAAGTTAAGCCCCTGAACTAATCCCAGAATCTCTATTAAGCCCTTAGACTTTAATTGATACATATAAACCCTTAAACTCTGCCATCAAGGCAATTAAACCCTTCTTCTTACGCCAACTTAACAGCCGTTTCAGACTCGCTTGCCTGGCTTAACTGCCGTTTGGGACTTGCTCGCTTGGCTGCTTGGATGGCAAAATATTGCCATGTCATGCTTTTATGACCATATGACAAGGGATTTGATATTTGAGTGGGATTTTTGACTTATTTGATCATTCAATTTTTTTTCTTAAATAAAATCTAAATAAAATAAAGTCATACATTTAAGTGAAAATATTATTTAAATAAAGTCTTAAATTTAAATTTAATAAATATAGTAATAGACATTAAAATTTTTTTATATGATTCATTATGATTTAATTTAAATTAATTGATAATACTATAACTTTAAAATTTTGAAAGTTTAATAAAAAAAGGATCATTTAAAATGATAAATTTATAATTATATGACATATGATATTAAATAAATATAATAAGAAAAAAATACATATCAATTTTAATTTTAAAAATAAAT